ATAACAGTCATATATAAAAGCAAAGCAAAGCAAAGCAAAGCAAAGCAAAGCAAAGCAAAGCAAAGCAAAGCAAAGCAAAGCAAAGCAAAGCAAAATGAAGTCAACTAGGTTAGCACTTCTGCAGGCAGCGTATTTAATTTGCTTTTTTATGATATTTTCTTTTATGCATTACATTGTCCTTATGTAACAAAAAAGTATTGAAGACTATACCGGATTTTATTTTCGATTAGCGTCTTCTATATAGATTACAGTTTTTATAGTATTTATATAGCACACAAATTCGCAGACAGGACGTTTGCGGACTACTTATTAGCTGATACCTTGACTTGATATATGGAAATGCCTCTGTTGTCTTGCTGACTTTATTACAAGAAAACGTTTGTATAACGTATTCCTTGGATTATTACTGCCTACAYCTTTTCAAACCSCCTACCTGTTTGATTCTACCGCCAACATAGYCYTGTCCCTCCAGGATCAAGAAATCATSGATTCCCTTATCCGATAAGGTCTTGCTCGCGACAATTCCAGACAGACCTGCGCCTAARATAAGGACTTTTTTGTGGGTTTGTTTAGCATCTATTGAATTGATATTGCTTATCAGGACAACCACCAAAATAATCTGGACGATTTTAAGCGTCTCCATGCCCTGAGCAACACACTGCGTTTTTACAAATTTGAAGCAGACGAGAGCCACGTTTTTTTTGCCAGGATAAATCCACTGAAGTGGAACCCTTTTGCAGTAACAGAATTATTAATGAGAGTATGTTGTGCAATAAAAAAAAGGTTTGCCGGAGCGGAACGATGCATTGTCCACAACCCAAGGTCACTGTGTTTTCAATTTTCGATAGATAATATTCATTTGGTGAAAAAAAAAACAAAAAAACAAAAAAAAACAAACAAACAGACAAACAAACAATAAAAACAATAAAAACCAAACAGCTCACCGTCGAAAAACAAAAAAACAAAATTGATGAGCAAAAACAGAATTGCGCAATTCCTAAGCCGGCATTTATTCATGGCGGCCGCGTGATTCACACGTCTGGTGAACCAGTCCTCGCGAATGGACATACCATGGAAAAAAACGCGCGCTTTAGGGACCAGTCATTATTTATTCCGGAGGGGGGGGGGGGAGGGGTGGAGGGGAAAAGGCTTTTAGTCGACAAAAATTTTCAGAACCCCCTTGATAGAATTAGTTTTTTTTTCGGACCCCCCTTTCCCATTGATGGTAAAAATTCAGGTCGACCCCCTTCAACAAAAATGATTCAAATATTGGAAAATTATTTTTTTTATTTTTCAACTATGATTAGTGAGCAGCACTAAGGAGAACTCTTAGAATATGAGCTGTAAACGTTTTTAATTTCGTACTTGTTTCGTCTCT